AGTTACCGTCATATGTCAACTTCTGACCGTAGCTAATCGAAGCACTTTATACCTGATCAAAGAGGCCAGATAGAGAGTGTATATACATTTTTTTAGCGATTTGACGGTGAGTTCACTTGACTCGTTAGCTTGAATTTGATTGTGACGATGATACCTTGCTCTGACGGACGAAAGCTTAGCATCTCTTCACCGGAATCTAATGAGATTGCCTCGGAAACAGCGTCAGCATTAATCTTCCAGGAAACCCAATCGACAGCTGGTTAATAGGAATCCGTTGCCGGTCATCTTCTGGTGGAATCGACGTTCGAATCTCATCACCAAACACCTTCACTCGAAATGGAAGCAAGCATAACAAATGCTATTATGCTGCCGTGTACAGAGAGAGTTAAGAGGATTTCGTTTTAGAGTAGTTTTTCGAGACTGCAAACAAATCAGATATATGAGCTGTGTTTATCCCATTTCATTTAAGTTGTTAAAGGACTGGTAGTTGAATTTTCCCACAATCAGATGAGTAGACCTTAAGTTAACATTGAATGTCACGTATCCTTGCCGCCCTAGAAGGTATTCTCAACCAAATTGAAATAGACTGCAGTTTCGACCTCGCGTAGAGCCTAGAAATACCCCCAGCGGGACTATACGCTGCGTCACCACAGCCTAGGTTCGAGTCCCGCTGATAAGATCAAGGAGAGGTTGAGACGGCACTTTACTCCGGCCGGGATTAGAATATCACACGAGAAAGCAAGGCTATGCGAAGTTTAACGGAAATATGAGGCCTATTCATCTGATTGTGAGAAAATTTGGCTATCAGTCCTTCATTTCATTATGCGACTTAGGATGACTATAATTTTATTCCAGATTTACTAAATGTTTTACAACCTACTTTATTTGAATACAAATTCATGTTTTTGAAACCTCTATTTTACTTGGACGTAAGGAACGAGTGTTAAAACTTAAATGGAAGCCATTTGACGCTGTTGGATAAGATTGGGAAAATAGAGAGTAAAATAAATCAAGAGGGAATGATGGGCAGTAGTCGGCTTGATTAACCTCGAATATGGTTGAGGCTGTCACCCGTCACATGCATCATAAGCATTGCAAACACGTTATCCCAAGCTACTTTACTCATACTCAGGTGTTCTGGAGAAGCATGGAATAACCAACAAAAGCTTTAATAAATCAGCAAAGTTAGACTATAACCTGAGTTAATAATGACACCTGACCAACATTTTGGTTCAGTATTTGGCGAAGTGTTATGAAAGAATGGTTTTATTCTCTGCATTTGTCTGCCAAGATTTGCCTGGCAAAATGCCATCATGGATGATTTGCAGAGGAATCTTGCCCACAAATCAGCAAATCTAGCGCCGAGGCGATCTTCATCTGGCTTCCGAAAACGCCTATTTACAACCCCATCCAACCCTTCGAACAAAATGAAGAACATAGCAACAAAAGATGCAAGGGTCTCAAACCTATGATTTGCTAACCATGGTTGCCTGCTAGCGATCGTAAAATACAAGATGTCATCAAATGCATAAAATTAGGCGGCACACTGAATGTACATACATTCTATGCATCTCATATTAACAAAAAATTCCATCACCAAAATTTACCCCTACCCAATAGCGTCAACCTTTTACAACGGAATGAAAAGGTACTTTTGTTTTTCAAGTAAACTTTCATGGTTATCAATAGATAATGAATTAAGAACCTAA